TAAATAAGTTAATGCAGCTGGATAACATGTTTTAAGTGAATCCCATTAAGAAAGAAAACTTGAAATATCTATTTCTCCAAAACATTTATAAAGTTCTTTAATGAATGTTGACCAATTTGTACCAAGCTTTGCACATAAATTTTTCATTACATTTTTCATTAAATGCTATTGATATAAACAATGTTTTGTGTCAAATGGTTGTAAAATTTTTGTGTAAGCATTTGCCATTGCATGATCATCATTAGTAAGAATAACTAATGGTGCATGTAGATTGTCCATTTCAAGAAATTTACTAAATACCCATATAAAATTATCTTCTGTTTCATCAATTATTAATGCACTAGTAAAACACATGCTATGTCCATAATTATTTACTCCAGTAAAAATTCCAAATGCCATTTGAAAATGATTGGTTTTATAAGTATTATCAAATATTACAATAATATCATTAAATCTACTATAATTCATTCATTATTCAGGAAACATCCATATTACTCATTCCAATATTTTTGTTATATTATTAATATCAGTATAATAAAAGAATTCTGTATTATCATGTTTAAGTTGTTCTAATATTTTTATAAATTCTTCAGCATCGAAATTTTTTTTTTCTGAACCAGAACCTTCTAATTGATAAATAAAATTATAAATATCATTATATATCCATGTAACACAATCACCAAACTCTTCTTTTAAAATTGCACATGTAGTGGAAACATCTATACTAGCATGATGTAATAATTCTATTCGTTGTTTAACATTATCAGGAATACTCCATTCATTAGACATAAAAAATCGATGATTTTCATTAACCATTTGATAATTATGAATAAGATTCATATTAATTATATATCATAAACCATTAGAATTATTAAAAGAAGCACAAATATAATAAGAACAACCACATCATTGAGATTTTCGATTTCGTTCTTTGTTAATTAAATTTTCATCTTCTGAGTCATATTCTTTTAATCCAGAATAACCAGCTCGAGAACATAATAATGTTCTTTTTCAAATTTTTTTTTCTGTAATAATTTCTTCTTTTTCTTTAGAAATTTTTTTAGAATTTTGATTTTTGGTAATATTTAAATATTCAACTTTTCCAAGTCTAATAATAAAACCAAGTTTATGTGCATAATCTTTGATTTTATTAACAAACTCATCATGACTCTTGAATATGTCATTAACTTGAGGTTGATAAATTTGAATAGAAGTCTGAACTTCAGACATAGTTTTTGTGATACAAAAAAAAATTTACTATATAAACAGTATGGAAAAACTTAACCCGAAATTTTTATTGCAACATGAAGACACGAATAAAGGTAAAAAAAATTTATTATGTGCAGATCATGTATTAATATAGAATTTCTAAATTAAGTTACAGGTCTAGATTAACCAGTCTGAACCCTGGGGGTCTAGGATAAGCAACTTGAACCCCCGGTCTAGGTTAAGTTTTCTCAAATAATAATTAAGCCACACATCACGTGCGCGAAATTTCATTATTCACGACTGAAAAAGTTTATTATTATGTGCGCGTCAAATCCATATATATATATTTAAATTCTCTAACCTTTCATATTTTTTCTTCAAAATATTATTATAGTTCAAAATATGAAAAAAAAAATTACTAATTAGGATAAAAATACAAACACGACGAGAATTCGTAAAC